AACCGCATTGGGGCTCCGCAAGCCTCTCCTCAGCGTGCCTGGCAAGGCGATGCTGAATAATCCTTGCCAGGACCTTTCCCGGCACACTGAGGAGTGAGATGCCCCTGTAGTTGTTACAGTCTGTGCGGTCCCCCTTCTTAAAAAGGGGGACCACCAGGGCATCCTTCCAATCCTGCAGATCCCGTCCAGTGGTCCAGACTGATGTAACGATGTCATATAGGGCACTCTGTGCACAAACGCCACCCTCCCTCAGCATTTCGCTTGGGAGATCATCTCTGCCCGCTGCCTTTCCTGGTCTCAGACTCCGGATCGCCTTCAATACTTCCTCAGCAGATGGCACCTCAGCCAGCCACTCACAGTGGGTGACTTCATCCAATATTTGAGGCACCGCAGCCTCAGCAGGGTTATCCTCACTTTGTGCCACGATGTTTTCCTGGCTGTGGGATTTTCCCTCCCCCAGGACCTCACAGAAATGCTCAGCAAATCTGCGAACCTGTTCCTGGGGGTCGGAAATTGGATCACCGTTTTTTCCCCTAATGATGGTAATAGGTGTGGCGTTGCAGGTTACTTTTTTGATGGAGTTAAATAGCGATTTGTGATCACGGGCCACTGAGGCAGACTCCATCTCCTCAGCAACCCGCGACCACCACCCATCCTTGCAGCGCCTCACGGCTCTCCGAACCTCCGAGCGAAGGCTGCGGTAAGCCTCCTCATTCTCTGACGTGGGATTCTGTAGCCGATGACAGTGGGCCTGTCGCTTTTTCTCAACCATCCTGAACAACTCCTCTGTCATCCAGGGTGTCTGGGGAGGTCTGGACCGCGTACCCAAAGCAGCCATTGCAGCTGCATGAGTCACAGTCCTAAACCTCGCCCATTTACCCTCGACATCCGGAGGAGTCGGGGACGATGCCAATCCCAGCCGCAAGCGATGATGAAATTCTCGCTTGCAACTTTCATCAGATAACTGAGACCAGGCCACTTTAGGTTGGAATGGGGTCCTGGGTGTACACCCACCACCGGAGTGGAAGAATGGCAGGCGCATCTTACAGATGACTAGTCGATGGTCAGAGGGCAGATCAGCTCCACGGTAGGTCCTGGTGTCAAGGACATGGGCTCGCATTCGCTGGTCCGTCACTATGTAGTCCAGCAGATGTTCTTGCTTGGACCCGGCATGCATCCATGATGTTGTGTGGATGCGCCGATGCCGGAACAGCGTGTTGGTAATTACAAGCCCATGGGCTGCACAAAAATCTAGCAGCCTCCTACCGTTGTTATTGAGCTGATCTGGCCCATGCCCTCCAATCACTCCAGACCAGGTGCCAGTATCATGACCAACTCGGGCATTGAAGTCACCCAACATGATGACTCTATCCCGAGTGGCCACTTTAGCCAGCACCTGTGACAGGAGGTCATAGAAGGCATCTGACTCACACACACGTGTACACACACACACAGTGACACACACACGTGTACACACACACACACAGTGACACACACACAGTGACACACACAGTGACACACACACACACAGTGACACACACAGACACACACAGTGACACACACACAGTGACACACACACAGTGACACACACACGTGTACACACACACACAGTGACACACACACGTGTACACACACACACAGTGACACACACACGTGTACACACACACACAGTAACACACACGTGTACACACACACAGTGACACACACACAGTGACACACACACACAGTGACACACACACAGTGACACACACACGTGTACACACACACAGTGACACACACACAGTGACACATACACAGTGACACACACACGTGTACACACACACACAGTGACACACACACGTGTACACACACACACAGTGACACACACACAGTGACACACACACAGTTACACACACACAGTGACACACACAGAGACACACAGTGACACACACACAGTGACACACACACAGTTACACACACACAGTGACACACACAGAGACACACAGTGACACACACAGTGACACACACACAGTGACACACACAGAGACACACACACAGTGACACACACACAGTGACACACACACAGTGAAACACACGTGTACACACACGTGTACACACTCACACACAGTGACACACACAGTGACACACACAGTGACACACACACACAGTGACACACACAGACAGTAACACACACACAGTGACACACACAGAGACACACAGTGACACACACACAGTTACACACACACAGTGACACACACAGAGACACACAGTGACACACACACAGTGACACACACAGTGACACACACACAGTGACACACACGTGTACACACACGTGTACACACTCACACACAGTGACACACACAGTGACACACACACACAGTGACACACACACAGTAACACACACACAGTGACACACACAGAGACACACAGTGACACACACTCACACAGTGACACACACACACAGTAACACACACAGTGACACACACACAGTGACACACACACAGTGACACACACACAGTGACACACACGTGTACACACACACACAGTGACACACACACAGTGACACACACGTGTACACACTCACACAGTGACACACACACAGTGACACACACACGTGTACACACACACAGTGACACACACACAGTGACACATACACAGTGACACACACACGTGTACACACACACACAGTGACACACACACGTGTACACACACACACAGTGACACACACACAGTGACACACACACAGTTACACACACACAGTGACACACACAGAGACACACAGTGACACACACACAGTGACACACACACAGTTACACACACACAGTGACACACACAGAGACACACAGTGACACACACAGTGACACACACACAGTGACACACACAGAGACACACACACAGTGACACACACACAGTGACACACACACAGTGAAACACACGTGTACACACACGTATACACACTCACACACAGTGACACACACAGTGACACACACAGTGACACACACACACACAGTGACACACACAGACAGTAACACACACACAGTGACACACACAGAGACACACAGTGACACACACACAGTTACACACACACAGTGACACACACAGAGACACACAGTGACACACACACAGTGACACACACAGTGACACACACACAGTGACACACACGTGTACACACACGTGTACACACTCACACACAGTGACACACACAGTGACACACACAGTGACACACACACACAGTGACACACACACAGTAACACACACACAGTGACACACACAGAGACACACAGTGACACACACTCACACAGTGACACACACACACAGTAACACACACAGTGACACACACACAGTGACACACACACAGTGACACACACGTGTACACACACACACAGTGACACACACACAGTGACACACACGTGTACACACTCACACAGTGACACACACACAGTGACACACACACAGTGACACACACACATGTCCACACACACGTGTACACACACACACAGTGACACACACGTGTACACACTCACACACAGTGACACACACAGTGACACACACGTGTACACACTCACACAATGACACACACACAGTGACACACACGTGTACACACACAGTGACACACACAGTGACACACACGTGTACACACTCACAGAGTGACACACACACAGTGACACACACACGTGTACACACTCACAGTGACACACACACGTGTACACACACTCACAGTGACACACACACGTGTACACACACGTGTACACACACACACGTGTACACACACAGTGACACACACACGTGTACACACACTCACAGTGACACACACACGTGTACACACTCACACAGTGACACACACACGTGTACACACACACACGTGTACACACACACAGTGACACACACACACGTGTACACACACACAGTCTGTGACTCTATGAGCCACGTCAGAGCTGCTCTATTGCCCCCTGCTGTCCACGAGAAGAAATTCGTGGGCGCTTGAGTCGACTCAGCCTCAAATGATTGCCTGGTGCAGCGGTGGTGGTGGTGGTGCAGTGAACATCGCCACTGGGGAGACAAAGGCGGCCGGGCGTTGTGGTGCTGGCCACCCACCCCCTCTGTGTGTAGCCACAGTGCCGGTAGCCTTCATAGGTGCTCGCTAACAGCACTTGCCCCTACAGCACGCTAGAGGCTACCTGGGGGAGCTTTGTCTGTGTGTGTATCATAGGTGGTGCTACTCCCTACTAGCAGCACTTGCCCCTACAGCCTGCTAGAGGCTACCTGGGGGAGCTTTCTCTGTGTCACGGCACTTGCCCCTACAGCCCTGCTAGAGGCTACCTGGGGAGCTTTGTCTGTGTAACAGCACTTGCCCCTACAGCCCTGCTAGAGGCTACCTGGGGGAGCTTTGTCTGTGTAACAGCACTTGCCCCTACAGCCCTGCTAGAGGCTACCTGGGGGAGCTTTGTCTATCTAACAACACTTGCCCCTACAGACTGCTAGAGGCTACCTGGGGGAGTTTTGTCTGTGTAACAACACTTGACCCTACAGCCCTGCTAGAGGCTACCTGGGGGAGCTTTGTCTGTGTAACAACACTTGCCCCTACAGCCCTGCTAGAGGCTACCTGGGGGAGCTGTGTCTGTGTAACAGCACTTGCCCCTACAGCCCTGCTAGAGGCTACCTGGGGGAGCTTTGTCTGTGTAACAACACTTGCCCCTACAGACTGCTAGAGGCTACCTGGGGCACCTTTGTTTCAAATCTTCCGGAAGATTTATTCACGAATCATTTAATGAAATCTTCCGGAAGACGTTTTAAAGTTTTTATGTCAATGCGAAGATTCAGAAGACGTCTTCTGGAAGATTAATTCAAAAGTTACCTCTACCGGAAGATATTTTCCCGTTTTAATGTATTGATTCAAAAATATATTCCGGATGATAGCTTCCGGAAGACGTGTTCTTGTTTTTATTCCGCGGAAGTCTTCCAGAAGACGTCTTCCGGATGACGTCTTACTATCGTTAACCTCAGCGACCAAATGGCCGCCGTCCTATTGGCCGGCTCACCCCATCAACAGTCCCCACCCTCCCAGTTTCTGACCAATCAGCTCGCGTCTTGCTGCTGTAGCTCAGGGGGCAGGGCAGGGCAGGCGAGAGGCGGGGCTGGGTGGTTTTTGGCGCCAAAATTCGCGATCGATCTCTGCGGAGCGCGAACATCGCGATCGGATTGATGCGTTTTTACCACCGATTTAACGATAAAACTTAAAGCGTTTTGTGTTTTAATAGCTAACAATTAGCTGCTGGCTTGCGACGATGTTTCTGTCGGATTTTAAGAAGGAGTTCTATGACGTGATCTGTCGTGAGGTAAAACAATTTCCATACATCCACACAGCGTTACCATCACATTACCATAACTTTACCTCACGCCGTGACTTATTAGTATTGTTGTGTGTGGTAAAATCTCCATACATCCACACAGCGTTACCATCACATTACCATAACTTTACCTCACATACGCCGTGACTTATTAGTATTGTGTGTGTGGTAAAATCTCCATACATCCACACAGCGTTACCATCACATTACCATAACTTTACCTCACGCCGTGACTTAATAGTATTGTTGTGGTGTGTGGTAAAATCTCCATACATCCACACAGCGTTACCATCAGATTACCATAACTTTACCTCGTGCCGTGACTTAATAGTATTGTGTGTGTGGTAGAATTTCCATACATCCACACAGCGTTACCATCACATTACCATAACTTTACCTCACGCCGTGACTTAATAGTATTGTTGTGGTGTGTGGTAAAATCTCCATACATCCACACAGCGTTACCATCACATTACCATAACTTTACCTCACGCCGTGACGTATTAGTATTGTTGTGTGTGGTAAAATCTCCATACATCCACACAGCGTTACCATTACATTACCATAACTTTACCTCACGCCGTGACGTATTAGTATTGTTGTGTGTGGTAAAATCTCCATACATCCACACAGCGCTACCATCACATTACCATAACTGTACCTCACGCCGTGACTTAATAGTATTGTTGTGGTGTGTGGTAAAATCTCCATACATCCACACAGCGTTACCATCACATTACCATAACTGTACCTCACGCCGTGACTTATTAGTATTGTTGTGTGTGGTAAAATCTCCATACATCCACACAGCGTTACCATCACATTACCATAACTTTACCTCACATACGCCGTGACTTATTAGTATTGTGTGTGTGGTAAAATCTCCATACATCCACACAGCGTTACCATCACATTACCATAACTTTACCTCACATACGCCGTGACTTATTAGTATTGTGTGTGTGGTAAAATCTCCATACATCCACACAGCGTTACCATCACATTACCATAGCTTTACCTCACGCCGTGACTTAATAGTATTGTTGTGGTGTGTGGTAAAATCTCCATACAACCACACAGCGTTACCATCACATTACCATAACTTTACCTCACGCCGTGACTTATTATTGTTGTTATTATGGTAGTGTAGTGGCATAATAGTGTATAGAAGTGTATATAGTATAGGGTTGTGTATAGGAGTGTAGTCCAGACTAGTGTATTGAAGTGTATAGTGTAGTGTATAATAGTGTATTGTAGTGTATAGTGTAGTGTATTGTAGTGTACAGTGTAGTATATAATAGTGTATAGTAGTGTATAGTGTAGTGTATAGTAGTGCATAGTGTAGTTTATAGTGTAGTGTATAATAGTGTATTGTAGTGTACAGTGTAGTGTATAGTAGTGCATAGTGTAGTTTATAGTGTAGTGTATAATAGTGTATTGTAGTGTACAGTGTAGTGTATAGTAGTGCATAGTGTAGTTTATAGTGTAGTGTATAATAGTGTATTGTAGTGTACAGTGTAGTATATAATAGTGTATAGTAGTGCATAGTGTAGTTTATAGTGTAGTGTATAATAGTGTATTGTAGTGTACAGTGTAGTGTATTGTAGTGCATAGTGTAGTATATAGTAGTGTATAGTAGTGCATAGTGTAGTATATAGTAGTGTATAGTGTAGTGTATAATAGTGTATAGTATAGTGTATAGTAGTGTACAGTGTAGTATATAATAGTGTATAGTAGTGCATAGTGTAGTTTATAGTATAGTGTATAATAGTGTATTGTAGTGTACAGTGTAGTATATAATAGTGTATAGTAGTGCATAGTGTAGTTTATAGTGGTGTGTATAATAGTGTATTGTAGTGTACAGTGTAGTATATAATAGTGTATAGTAGTGCATAGTGTAGTTTATAGTGTAGTGTATAATAGTGTATTGTAGTGTACAGTGTAGTGTATAGTAGTGCATAGTGTAGTATAAAGGAGTGTATAGTGTAGTATATAGTAGTGTATAGTGTAGTATATAGTAGTGTATAGTGTAGTGTATAATAGTGTATAGTATAGTGTATAGTAGTGTATTGTAGTGTACAGTGTAGTATATAATAGTGTATAGTAGTGCATAGTGTAGTTTATAGTGTAGTGTATAATAGTGTATTGTAGTGTACAGTGTAGTGTATAGTAGTGCATAGTGTATAGTGTAGTATAAAGGAGTGTAAAGTGTAGTATGTAATAGTGTATAGTAGTGCATAGTGTCGTGTATAGTAGTGCATGGTGTAGTGTAAAGGAGTGTCAACCCCTAGGGTTCAGCTTTATATATTTCTAGAGGGTATTTGATGTTTAAGGTTCATACAGCGAAGAGGAGAGCAACAATAGCCACATTTTGTGTTTCTCCCTTGCGATGGGACTTTGTAGGATGAACGTTGAGATTTATAAGTGGAACGGGCTGTAAAGTGTAGTGTATAGTGTCTAGTGTAGTGTATAATGTAGTGTGTAGTGTATAGTGTAGTGTAGTGTGTAGTGTATAATGTAGTGTATAGCGTAGTGTATAATATAGTGTATAGTGTATAATGTAGTGTATAGCGTAGTGTATAATATAGTGTAGTGTATAGTGTATAATATAGTGCAGTGTGTAGTGTATAATGTAGTGTATAGTGTAGTGCATAATGTAGTGTATAATGTAGCGTGTAGTGTATGATGTAGTGTATAGTATAGTGTATAATATAGTGTAGTGTATAATGTAGTGTATAGTATAGTGCAGTGTATAATGTAGTGTATAGTGTATAATATAGTGCAGTGTATAATGTAGTGTATAGTGTAGTGTGAGTGTATAATGTATAATATAGTGCAGTGTATAATGTAGTGTGTAGTGTGAGTGTATAGTGTATAATGTAGTGTATAATATAGTGTAGTGTATAGTGTATAATATAGTGTAGTGTATAGTGTATAATATAGTGTAGTGTGTAGTGTATAATGTATAATATAGTGTGTAGTGTATAATGTAGTGTGTAGTGTAATGTATAAGGTTGTATAGTGTAGTGTATAGTGTATGATAGTGCAGTGTATAATATAGTGTAGTGTGTTAGTGTATAATGTAGTGTATAGTATAGTGTATAATATAGTGTATAGTGTAGTGTATAATATATAATATAGTGCAGTGTATCATATAGTGTAGTGTATAGTGTATTGTATAATATAGTGTGTAGTGTATAATGTATAATATAGTGCAGTGTATAATATAGTGTGTAGTGTATAATGTAGTGTGTAGTGTATAATGTAGTGTGTAGTGTATAATGTAGTGTGTAGTGTATAATGTAGTGTATAGTATAGTGTGTAGTGTATAATGTAGCGTGTAGTGCAGTGTATAATATAGTGTGTAGTGTATAATGTAGCGTATAGTATAGTGTATAATATAGTGTGTAGTGTATAATGTAGTGTGTAGTGTATAGTGTAGTGTATAGGATGAACGTTGCTATTTATAATGGTTATACGGGGTGAGCAACACGTGTCTTGATTGGTCTATAATGAAGTAGGCAGCACCGATAAGGGGTTTGACGGGCGTGGGAGTGGCGAGGTAAAATGTGGGTACACCATGGGACAGCTCTAAAACGTCTCAAACCCTTTATGTCGACTCAGCCTTAAGATATAAATATACACACACAGTAACTACGCGGTGCATCGCCACTAAGGGAGAGACAAAGGCGGCCGGGCGTGGTGATGCTGGCCACCCACCCCCTCTGTGTGCCACATTGCTGGTAGCTGCTGCTGCTGCTAACAGCACTTGTTCCTACAGCCCTGCGAGAGGCTACACGGGGGATCTTAGTCATTGTTTGCACTTGGCCCTAGAGCCTGTGCGGGCTATACGGGGGACATTTGTCTGTACCTTTGCTTGATGTGTCACTCGCTGCACTTGCCCCTACATCCTTCGTGGGCTGTATGGTGGACATGCGTCTGTGCATTTGTATGTGTGCCACTGATTGCACTTTCCCCGATAGCCCGTGTGGGCTATACGGGAGACCTTTGTCTGTACCTTTGTCTGAGTGTCACTGACTGCACTTGCCCCTGCAGCCTGTTGAAAGCTACACGGGGGACCTTTGTCTTTGTTCCGAAACAGAGGGTGCTCATCGTGCTGGCTGTGGATGTGGACTCTCTCTGTGCCTGCAAGATCATCCAGGTAGCCACACTCACACCATCACACCACTGAGGCTAGGAGATGTTGACTACCTCGCCTGGCATGCAGGAGGTCGTGGGTTAGATCCTGACCCTGACACCACAGTGGCTAGGAGATGTTGACTACCTCGCCTGGCATGCAGGAGGTCGTGGGTTAGATCCTGACCCTGACACCACAGTGGCTAGGAGATGTTGACTACCTCGCCTGGTCTACAGGAGGTCGTGGGTTAGATCCTGACCCTGACACCACAGTGGCTAGGAGATGTTGACTACCTCGCCTGGTCTACAGGAGGTCGTGGGTTAGATCCTGACCCTGACACCACAGTGGCTAGGAGATGTTGACTACCTCGCCTGGTCTACAGGAGGTCGTGGGTTAGATCCTGACCCTGACACCACAGTGGCTAGGAGATGTTGACTACCTCGCCTGGCATGCAGGAGGTCGTGGGTTAGATCCTGACACCACAGTGGCTAGGAGATGTTGACTACCTCGCCTGGTCTACAGGAGGTCGTGGGTTAGATCCTGACTCTGACACCACAGTGGCTAGGAGATGTTGACTACCTCGCCTGGTCTACAGGAGGTCGTGGGTTAGATCCTGACCCTGACACCACAGTGGCTAGGAGATGTTTACTACCTCGCCTGATCTACAGGAGGTCGTGGGTTAGATCCTGACCCTGACACCCACAGTGGCTAGGAGATGTTGACTACCTCGCCTGGTATACAGGAGGTCGTGGGTTAGATCCTGACTCTGACACCACAGTGGCTAGGAGATGTTGACTACCTCGCCTGGTATACAGGAGGTCGTGGGTTAGATCCTGACCTTGACACCACAGTGGCTAGGAGATGTTGACTACCTCATTTGGTCTACAGGAGGTCGTGGGTTAGATCCTGACACCACAGTGGCTAGGAGATGTTGACTACCTCGCCTGGTGTACAGGAGGCGTGTGTTCGATCCCGACCCTGACAATGCCTGCTGCTGCTGTCTATGCGGAGTCTGTGTCTCTCTCTGTCTCTCTCTATCTCTCTCTGTCTCTCTGTCTCTGTCTGTCTCTCTCTGTCTGTCTCTCTCTCTGTCTGTCTGTCTCTCTCCCCATGGTGGTCACTGTGTGAATGTCTCCAGGTCCTCCGGTTTTCCCCTCCACATTTAGAATCAACGTCACCACCACCACCACCACGCGTTCAGAGGATTTGGCTGCTGCTCTATGGTTCTATCTTGGTCTCTGTGGGTCTCTGTGGGTCTCTGTGGGTCTCTGTGGGTCTCTATGGTTCTATCTTGGTCTCTGTGGGTCTCTGTGGATCTCTGTGGGTCTCTGTGGGTCTCTGTGGGTCTCTGTGGGTCTCTATGGGTCTCTGTGGGTCTCTGTGGGTCTCTGTGGGTCTCTGTGGATCTCTGTGGGTCTCTGTGTGTCTCTATGGGTCTCTATGGGTCTCTATGTATTCTCTATGGGTCTCTGTGTATTCTCTGTGGGTCTCTGTGTATTCTCTATGGGTCTCTGTGTATTCTCTGTGGGTCTCTGTGTATTCTCTGTGGGTCTCTGTGGGTCTCTGTGGGTCTCTGTGGATCTCTGTGGGTCTCTCTGCGTTCAGAGGATTTGGCTGCTGCTGTGAATGTCCACGTGGTGATGATGATTATGACATCAGCCACGTGGTGATGATGATGATGATGACATCAGCCACGTGGTGATGATGATGACATCAGCCACGTGGTGATGATGATGATGGTGACATCAGGCACGTAGTGATGATGATGACGACATCAGGCACGTGGTGATGATGATGACGACATCAGCCACGTGGTGATGATGATGACATCAGCCACGTGGTGGAGCTGCTATCATTGTGATGGCCACGTCGCCGATAGGAGATCTACACAGCAGTAGCTCAAAGGGGCCTCACCTGGTCAATAAAAATAGTTTTGTTTGCATGGTTTGTTTCGTTCAGATGTTGCTAATGCTACTACTACTGCTGGTGACGATACTGCTGCTGATGATGATGATTATGATGTTACTGATACTGCTGCTGATGATGATTATGATACTGCTACTGCTGATGATGATCATGATGTTACTGATACTGCTACTGATGATGATTATGATGTTGCTGATACTACTACTGCTGATGCTGAGCTTGCTGCTGATGATGAGCTTACTGCTGCTGATACTACTACTGCTGCTGCTGATGATGTTACTGCTGCTGATACTACTACTGCTGCTGCTGATGATGTTACTGCTGCTGATACTACTACTGCTGATACTACTACTGCTGCTGATACTACTACTACTGCTGCTGATGATGATGTTACTGCTGCTGATACTACTACTGCTGCTGATGCTACTACTGCTGCTGCTGATGATGATCTTACTGCTGCTGGTGCTACTCCTGTTCCTACTGCTGCTGCTGATGTTGCTGATGCAACTACTACTGCTGATGATGACGATCTTATTGCTGATGATGATGACGATGATCTTGTTGCTGCTGCTGCTGATGATGATCTGACTGCTGCTGCTACTGCTGATGATGATCTTGTTGCTGCTGCTACTGCTGCAGGCCCTGTTCCAGTGTGACCAGGTGCAGTACACTCTGTTGACTGTGTCAGGGCTACGCGAGTTGGAGGAGACGTTCGCTGAACACAGAGACCAGGTACTGCTGATGCACACGCTCACCAGACACGCTCACCAGACACGCTCACCAGACACGCTCACCAGACACGCTCACCAGACACGCTCACCAGACACGCTCACCAGACACGCTTACCAGACACACCAGACACGCTCACCAGACACGCTCACCAGACACGCTCACCAGACACGCTCACCAGACACGCTTACCAGACACACCAGACACGCTCACCAGACACGCTCACCAGACACGCTCACCAGACACGCTCACCAGACACGCTCACCAGACCCCTCACCAGACACGCTCACCAGACACGCTCACCAGACCCCCTCACCAGACACGCTCACCAGACACACCAGACACGCTCACCAGACACGCTCACCAGACACGCTCACCAGACACGCTCACCAGACACGCTCACCAGACACGCTCACCAGACACGCTCACCAGACACGCTCACCAGACACGCTTACCAGACACACCAGACACGCTCACCAGACAGGCTCACCAGACACGCTCACCAGACACGCTCACCAGACACGCTTACCAGACACACCAGACACGCTCACCAGACACGCTCACCAGACCCCCTCACCAGACACGCTCACCAGACATGCTCACCAGACACACTCACCAGACACGCTCACCAGACACGCTCACCAGACCCCCTCACCAGACACGCTCACCAGACATGCTCACCAGACACGCTCACCAGACACGCTTACCAGACACGCTCACCAGACGCGCTCACCAGACACGCTCACCAGACCCCTCACCAGACCCCTCACCAGACACGCTCACCAGACACGCTCACCAGACACGCTCACCAGACACACCAGACACGCTCACCAGACACGCTCACCAGACACGCTCACCAGACACGCTCACCAGACCCCTCACCAGACCCCTCACCAGACACGCTCACCAGACACGCTCACCAGACACGCTCACCAGACACGCTCACCAGACACGCTCACCAGACACGCTCACCAGACCCCTCACCAGACACGCTCACCAGACACGCTCACCAGACACGCTCACCAGACACGCTCACCAGACACGCTCACCAGACACGCTCACCAGACACGCTCACCAGACACGCTCACCAGACCCCTCACCAGACCCCTCACCAGACACGCTCACCAGACACGCTCACCAGACACGCTCACCAGACACGCTCACCAGACACGCTCACCAGACCCCCTCACCAGACCCCTCACCAGACACGCTCACCAGACACGCTCACCAGACACGCTCACCAGACACGCTCACCAGACCCCTCACCAGACCCCTCACTAGACCCCTCACCAGACACGCTCACCAGACACGCTCACCAGACACGCTCACCAGACCCCTCACCAGACCCCTCACTAGACCCCTCACCAGACACGCTCACCAGACACGCTCACCAGACACGCTCACCAGACACGCTCACCTACTCTACTCTCCGACTTGCCCACCTACTCACACAATCACCCGGTCAGTCTCACTGACTCACTCAGCCACCCACTCATCCACACACTCAATCAATCGTTCACCCACTCACTCATCTACTCACTGACGCACTCAGCCACCCACTCAGCCACTCTCTCACTGACTCACTCAGCCACCCACACATCCACCCACTCAATCACCCATTCACTCACCCACCCAATCAATCGTTCACCCACTCACTCATCCACTCACTCACCAATTCACGCAACTACACTCCCACCCACTCGCTCATCTACTCACTGACCCACTCAGCCACCCACTCAGCCACTCTCTCACTCACTCACTCACACACCCAATCTCTCATCCACCCACTCACTCACCCATTCACGCGAACACTCTCCCACCCACTCAGCCACACACTCAGCCGCCCACTCATCTACACACTCACCCACTGACCCACTCATCCACTCATCCACTCACCCACTCGCCCACTCAGTCGCCCACTCACTCACCCACTCACTCGCCCACTCACTCACCCACTCACTCACTCATTCACCCACTCACTCACCCACTCACTCACTCACTCATCCACTCACTCACTCATCCACTCACTCACCCAATAACTCACCCACCCACTCAATCACCCACTCACTCACGCACTCACCCACTCACCCACCCACTGACCCACCCACTCACCCATTCACTCACTCACCCACTCACTCACTCACTCACCCACTGACCCACCCACTCACCCACCCACTCACCCACTCACTCACCCAATGACCCACCCACTCACTCACTCACCCACCCACTCACTCACCCACCCACCCTGCCACTCACCCACTCACTCACCCAATAACTAACCCACCCACTCACTCACCCACTCACTCACTCACTCACCCACTTACCCACTCAATCACCCACTCACTCACCCACTCACCCACCCACTGACCCACCCACTCACCCATTCACTCACTCACCCACTCACTCACCCACTGACCCACCCACTCACCCACTCACCCACCCACTCACTCACCCAATGACCCACCCACTCACTCACCCACCCACTCACTCACCCACCCACCCTGCCACTCACCCACTCACTCACCCAATAACTCACCCACCCACTCACCCATTCACTCACTCACCCACTCACCCACTGATTCACTCACCCACTCACCCACCCACTCACTCACTCACCCACTTACCCACTCAATCACCCACTCACTCACCCACTCACCCACTCACTCACCCACTGACCCACCCACTCACCCATTCACTCACTCACCCACTCACTCACTCACCCACTGACCCACCCACTCACCCACTAACCCACTCACCCACCCACTCACCCAATGACCCACCCACTCACCCATTCACTCACTCACCCACTCACTCACTCACCCACTGACCCACCCACCCACCCTGCCACTCACCCACTCACTCACCCAATAACTCACCCACCCACTCACCCACTCACTCACTCACTCACCCACTTACCCACTCAATCACCCACTCACTCACCCACTCACCCACTCACTCACCCACTGACCCACCCACTCACCCATTCACTCACTCACCCATTCACTCACTCACCCACTGACCCACCCACTCACCCACTCACCCACCCACTCACTCACCCAATGACCCACCCACCCACCCTGCCACTCACCCACCCACTCACTCACTCACCCAATGACCCACCCACCCACCCTGCCACTCACCCACTCACTCGCCCAATAACTCACCCATTCACTCACCCACTCACTCACTCACTCACCCACTCACCCACCCACTCACTCATCCAATGACCCACCCACTCACTCACTCACCCAATGACCCACTCACTCACCCAATGACCCACCCACCCTGCCACTCACCCACTCACCCACCCACTCACCCAATGACCCACCCACTCACTCACTCACCCACTGACCCACCCACCCACCCACCCTGCCACTCACCCCCTGTGTGTGTGTCCCCAGTTCTCCCACTTCCTGCTGGTGAACTGCGGGGCCACAGTGGATCTGCTGGAGACGCTGCAGCCCACCGAAGGCTCCACCATCTTCGTGCTCGACTCCCACCGTCCAGTCGACCTGGTCAACGCCTACAACCACACGCAGGTCATCACCACAACCACCACCACAACCACCACCACCACCACCACACGCAGGTCATCACCACAACCACCACCACCACCACTACCACCACCACACGCAGGTCATCACCACAACCACCACCACAACCACCACCACAACCACACGCAGGTCATCACCACCACCACAACCACCACCACCACACGCAGCAACCACCACCACTACCACAACCACCACCACCACCACACGCAGGTCATCACCACAACCACCACCACTACCACCACCACACGCAGCAACCACTACCACCACCACACGCAGGTCATCACCACAACCACCACCACAACCACCACCACCACCACACGCAGGTCATCACCACAACCACCACCACAACCACTACCACAACCACCACCACCACACGCAGGTCATCACCACAACCACCACCACCACCACACGCAGGTCATCACCACAACCACCACCACTACCACAACCACCACCACCACACGCAGGTCATCACCACAACCACCACCACAACCACCACCACCACACGCAGGTCATCACCACAACCACCACCACTACCACAACCACCACCATCACCACACGCAGGTCATCACCACAACCACCACCATCACCACCACCACCACCACCACACGCAGGTCATCACCACAACCACCACCACAACCACTACCACAACCACCACACGCAGGTCATCACCACAACCACCACCACCACACGCAGGTCATCACCACAACCACCACCACTACCACAACCACCACCATCACCACACGCAGGTCATCACCACAACCACCACCATCACCACCACCACCACCACCACCACACGCAGGTCATCACCACAACCACCACCACAACCACCACCACACGCAGGTCATCACCACAACCACCACCACCACCACACGCAGGTCATCACCACAACCACCACCACAACCACTACCACAACCACCACCACCACACGCAGGTCATCACCACAACCACCACCACAACCACCACCACCACCACCACACGCAGGTCATCACCACAACCACCACCACTACCACAACCACCACCATCACCACACGCAGGTCATCACCACAACCACCACCATCACCACCACCACCACCACACGCAGGTCATCACCACAACCACCACCACAACCACCACCATCACCACACGCAGGTCATCACCACAACCACCACCATCACCACCACCACCACCACCACACGCAGGTTATCACCACAACCACCACCACAACCACTACCACAACCACCACACGCAGGTCATCACCACAACCACCACCACCACAACCACCACCACCACACCCAGGTCATAACCACCACCACCACCACACGCAGGTCATCACCACAACCACCACCACCACACACAGGTCATCACCACCACCACAACCACCACACGCAGGTCATCACCACCACCACAACCACCACCACAACCACCACCACCACACCCAGGTCATAACCACCACCACCACTACCACCACCGCTACCACCACAACCGTCATGGCCATCACCGCCGCAGTACAGGGTGCTTCACGGGAAATCTGCTGCCCTTGGGCTCTGGTGACCACCTGGAGGGGGTTCCAGGCAACGCGTTGACAGCGTCACAGTGCGGTTATCCGTTCTTTCTCCATTAATAAGTAATATATATATAAAAAAAAATACTTAAAAAAAAACAGGCTTTCATCAGACGTGGCGTGCTAGTAATGGCAGAACTCCACGACTCCGGGAAGTTGCCCCGAAGTTTGCCACGGCGTAAGGGGGCCCCGTGGCCAATTACAGCCAACGTGAGCTGAGCGTGGACGATTAGAGCCAAGCTGTAACATGACGTATACAAAATAATGTTTGTAAAATATATTTGTATTTTTTGATGCCACGTTGGCAAGTGGGGTTAAAATCGAGTTACAAGACAACAACAGCAGCAGCAGCAGCAGACAGAGCGAGTTAAATAAAAGCGTGTGCAATAAACGATGGCCGTCCTATACGAGTGTAACAGAAAAACATTTTATATTCTTAGTTTTTTCGGTAAAGTCACCACGTTGAAGGGAATCAACAAAATAATAAAACATATATAAAACAATAAAAAAAATTATCACGACGTTTCGACCATAACTCAAACGGTCGTCTCCAGGTGTGTTGGTTTTTTTTATATTGTTTTATATATTGTTTTATTATTTTGTTGTTTCCCTTCAACGTGACTTTACCGAAAAAAAACTAAGATTATGAATGACTGCAGTCACGAAAGCTTTAAAACAGAAAAACATTTGTTTTGACCCACCGTGGATTGACGGCGTCGGCCGGGAAATCGCGAGCAGGTGAAGCTGCTTGTAAGAAAGGACGATGAGGTGGACGTGCCGGCGTACGATCACATCTTCAGAGACGACGACGAGGTGGAGGAGGGGGATGGCGGGGAGGGGGAGGGCGAGGAGGGGAGGGGTCAGGGAGGTGGCGACTCTGGGAACGACAGCGAAGACGATCGACCGTCGGGCAAACGCAGGCGGTTTGATGAGGTGTGTGGGTGGGTGGGTGTGGGTGGGTGGGGGTGTGTGTGGGTGGGTGTGAGTGTGGGTGGGTGTGAGTGGTGGAGTGTGTGTGTGTGAGTGGTGGAGTGTGTGTGTGTGTGAGGGGTTGAGTGTGTGTGTGAGTGGGGGGGTGTGGTTGGGTGTGGGTGGGTGTGTGTGTGTGTGGGTGGGGGTGGGTGTGTGGGTGTGTGGGTGGGTGTGGGTGTGTGGGTGGGTGTGGGTGGGTGGGTGTGTGTGGGTGGGTGTGGGTGGGTGGGTGTGTGTGGGTGGGTGGGTGTGAGTGTGTGTGTGTGTGGGTGGGTGGATGTGGGTGGGTGGGTGGGTGTGGGTGGGTGTGTGAGTGGGTGTGGGTGGGTGTGTGAGTGGGTGTGGGTGGGTGTGTGAGTGGGTGTGGGTGGGTGTGTGTGGGTGGGTATGTGTGTGTGTGAGTGAGTGGGTGTGTGAGTGTCAGTCGACCCGTGGCACCTGCTGGGTCTGCCCCGTGACCTCCTGCCCACGGGCGTTCGACACTTCACGTAGCCTCAAGGTGCACATAGCCTGGCACAAGCGTCGAGGTGACGTCACCACCACTTAGAGGCGAATGGCTGTTGTTGTTGTGGGTGAGTGGGTGGGTGGGTGTGTGAGTGGATGTGTGAGTGGGTGTGTGAGTGGGTGTGTGAATGGGTGTGTGGGTGTTTGGGTGTGTGAGTGAGTGTGTGAGTGGGTGTGTGTGTGAGTGTGTGAGTGGTTATTGCGAAGCTTTGGATATCGGAGTAACCAACTCCTGTGAGTGGGTGGGTAAGTGGGATCGTGGGTGAGTGGGGTGGGTGGGTGAGGGTGATTGGTACCAGCGGTGTCAAGATCGGCCTCTGTGGAGGAGGCTCGTGAAGGACGCTACTGGGCAGTTGGAGGCAGTCGCCCTCCAACAACAACGGAGGGCGGAGGAGCGACGCTCACAACAACGAGCGGAGCGCCGGGTGGCTAAAGCACAGCAAGTTGGCACAGTAGGGGGCACAGGTGGTGCATCAGCCACTCATCTCAGTCATCTAAGTCAGTCGACCCGTGGCACCTGCTGGGTCTGCCCCGTGACGTCCTCCTGTCAGCAGTGAGCCTGTGACACTTCACGTGATAGCCTCAAGGTGCACCTGGCCGGGCACAGACGCCGTGGTGACGTCACTGGTGCTTAGTGGCGAATGGCGGTTGTGTGGGTGAGGGTGGGTGAGGGTGAGGGTGGGTGAGAGGGTGAGTAGATGGTGAGAGTGAGTGAGTGAGGGTGAGTGAGTGAGGGTGAGTAGATGGTGAGGGTGAGTGAGTGAGGGTGAGTAGATGGTGAGTGAGTGAGGGTGAGTAGATGGTGAGGGTGAGTGAGTGAGGGTGAGTAGATGGTGAGGGTGAGTGAGTGAGGGTGAGTGAGTGAGGGTGAGTGAGTGAGGGTGAGTAGATGGTGAGGGTGAGTAGATGGTGAGGGTGAGTGAGTGAGGGTGAGTGAGTGAGGGTGAGTGAGTGAGTGAGGGTGAGTGAGTGAGGGTGAGTAGATGGTGAGGGTGAGTAGATGGTGAGGGTGAGTGAGTGAGGGTGAGTGAGGGTGAGTAGATGGTGAGGGTGAGTAGATGGTGAGGGTGAGTGAGTGAGGGTGAGTAGATGGTGAGGGTGAGTAGATGGTGAGGGTGAGTAGATGGTGAGGGTGAGTAGATGGTGAGGGTGAGTAGATGGTGAGGGTGAGTGAGGGTGAGGGTGAGTGAGGGTGAGTGAGTGAAGGTGAGTAGATGGTGAGGGTGAGTAGATGGTGAGGGTGAGTGAGGGTGAGGGTGAGTGAGGGTGAGTGAGTGAGGGTGAGTAGATGGTGAGGGTGAGTAGATGGTGAGGGTGAGTGAGTGAGGGTGAGTAGATGGTGAGGGTGAGTGAGTGAGGGTGGGTGAGTGAGTGAGTGAGGGTGAGTGAGTGAGGGTGAGTAGATGGTGAGGGTGAGTAGATGGTGAGGGTGAGTGAGGGTGAGTGAGTGAGTGAGGGTGAGTGAGTGAGGGTGCGTGAGTGAGGGTGAGTAGATGGTGAGGGTGAGTGAGTGAGGGTGAGTGAGTGAGGGTGAGTGAGTGAGGGTGAGTAGATGGTGAGGGTGAGTAGATGGTGAGGGTGAGTGAGGGTGAGTGAGTGAGGGTGAGTGAGTGAGGGTGAGTAGATGGTGAGGGTGAGTAGATGGTGAGGGTGAGAGTGCTCAGTGAGGCGTTGTGGTGGTCACAGGAATCTCTGTTGAGAAGAATCGACAGGAGGAGGGAAAGGAGAGCCTGGGAAGAGAAACGGTGAGTTCATGCTCGCTCACTTACTCGCTCACCCACTCACTCACCCACTCGCTCACCCGCTCACCCGTTCGCTCACCCACTCGCTTGCTCACTCACTCACTCGCTCACCCACTCACTCATCCACTCACTCACCCACTCACCCACTCACTCACCCACTCACCCGCTCGCTCACCCACTCACCCGCTCACTCACTCACTCGCTCACCCACTCACTCACCCACTCATCCACTCACTCGCCCACTCACTCACCCACCCACTCACTCACCCACTCGCTTGCTCACTCACTCGCTCACCCACTCACTCACCCACTCACCCACTCACTCACCCACTCATCCACTCACTCACCCACTCACCCACTCGCTCACTCACCCACTCGCTCACCCACTCGCTCACCCACTCACTCACCCACTCGCTCACTCACTCACTCACCCACTCACTCACACACTCACTCACTCATCCACTCACTCATCCACTCACTCACCCGCTCGCTCACCCGCTCGCTCACCCGCTCACTCACCCACTCATCCACTCACTCACCCGCTCACCCACTCACTCATCCACTCACTCACCCGCTTGCTCACCCACTTATCCACTCACTCACCCACTCACTCACCCACTTATCCACTCACTCACCCACTCACTCACCCGCTCGCTCATCCGCTCACCCACTCAGCCACCCACTCACTCATCCACCCACTCACCCGCTCGCTCACCCGCTCACCCACTCACTCACCCGCCCACTCGCTCACCCACCCATCCACCCACTTAGACGTACACTTACCCACTCACCCACCCGCTCGCTTGCTCACCCACTCGCTCGCTCACCCCCACACACACAACCACTCTGCCACTCACCTACCCGCTCACTCGCCTACGAACGCACTCGCTCACCCATTTTAAAAATCACTCAATCACCCAATCACTTACTGTGCATCTCTGTGATTGTGTGATTGTGTATGAGATGTTTGTATCTGTGATTGTGTGATGTGTGTGTGATGTTTGTATCTGTGATTGTGTATGTGATGTTTGTATCTGTGATTATGTGTGTCATGTTTGTATCTGTGATTGTGTGTGTGATGTTTGTATCTGTGATTGTGTGTGTGATGTTTGTATCTGTGATTGTGTGATTGTGTGTGATGTTTGTATCTGTGATTGTGTGATTGTGTGTGTGATGTTTGTATCTGTGATTGTGTGATTGTGTGTGTGATGTTTGTATCTGTGATTGTGTGATTGTGTGTGATGTTTGTATCTGTAATTGTGTGTGTGTGATGTGTGTATCTGTGATTGTGTGATTGTGTATGTGATGTTTGTGTATGGGATTGTGTGTGATGTGTGTGTATGATGTGTGTGTATGTGATTGTGTATGTGATGTTTGTGTGTGATGTGTGTATGTGGTTGTTGTTAGTGATTTTGTGTGATTGTGTGTGTGTATGATGTGTGATGTGTGTATGTGATTGTGTGTGTGTGTGATGTGTGTATGTGATTGTGTGTGTGATGTGTGTGATGTGTGTATGTGACTGTGTGATGTGTGTGTGTGATGTGATTTTGTGATTGTGTGTGTGATGTGTGTATGTGACTGTGTGATGTGTGTGTGTGATGTGATTTTGTGATTGTGTGTGTGATTGTGTGTGTATGATGTGTGTGATGTGTGTGTGTGTGACTGTGTGATGTGTGTGTGTGATGTTTGTGGTTGCTGTATCGTAGCTGCGACTCGCTTACATCACTTGCCCAGCACTGTTGAAGGCTCTGCGTGGATCTGTGTCTCTGTTGTGGCTCGGTACAGGCAGGAGATACTTTTTGAATACGAACAGTTTGAATATCACGGCACATCTGTAAGTACCTGCACCACACTCGGGTACTCACTGGGGTACTCACTGGGGTACTCACTGGGTACTCACTGGGTACTCACTGGGGTACTCACTGGGGGTACTCACTGGGGGTACTCACTGGGGTACTCACTGGGTTCTCACTGGGGTAATCACTGAGGTACTCACTTTGGTACGCACTGGGTACTCACTGGGGTACTCACTGGGTACTCACTGGGTACTCACTGGGGGTACTCAATAGGGTTCTCACTGGGGGTACTCACTGGGGTACTCACTGGGGTACTCACTGGGGTACTCACTGGGGGACTAACTGGGGGACTAACTGGGGTACTCACTGAGGTACTCACTGGGGTACTCACTGGGGTACTCACTGGGGTACTAACTGGGGGTACTCACTGGGGGTACTCACTGGGGTACTCACTGGGGGTACTAACTGGGGTACTCACTGGGGTACTCACTGGGGTACTCACTGGGTACTCACTGGGGTACTCACTGGGGTACTCACTGGGTACTCAGTGGGGGTACTCACTGGGGGTACTCACTGGGTACTCACTGGGGTACTCACTGGGGTACTCACTGGGGTACTAACTGGGGGTACTCACTGGGGTACTCACTGGGGGTACTCACTGGGGTACTCACTGGGTACTCACTGGGGTACTAACTGGGGGTACTCACTGGGGTACTAACTGGGGGTACTCACTGGGGTACTCACTGGGTACTCACTGGGGTACTCACTGGGTACTCACTGGGGGTACTCACTGGGGTACTCACTGGGGTACTCACTGAGCACTCACTGGGTACTCACTGGGGTACTCACTGGGGGTACTCACTGGGGTACTCACTGGGGTACTCACTGGGGGTACTCACTGGGCACTCACTGGGTACTCACTGGGGGTACTCACTGGGTACTCACTGGGGTACTCACTGGGTACTCACTGGGGTACTCACTGGGGTACTCACTGGGGGTACTCACTGGGATACTCACTGGGGTACTCACTGGGGTACTCACTGGGTACTCACTGGGGTACTCACTGGGGTACTCACTGGGGGTACTCACTGGGCACTCACTGGGGTACTCACTGGGGTACTCACTGGGGTACTCACTGGGGGTACTCACTGGGATACTCACTGGGGTACTCACTGGCGGTACTCAGTGGGGTTCTCACTGGGTACTCACTGGGGTACTCACTGGGGGACTCACTGGGTACTCATTGGGGGTACTCATTGGGGGTACTCACTGGGGGACTCACTGGGTACTCACTGGGGTACTCACTGGGGGACTCACTGGGTACTCACTGAGTACTCACTGGGGTACTCACTGGGGATACTCGCTGGGGGATTCACTGGGGCTACATGTGTCTGTATACTCAGCCACTCTATCACACACCCACTCACTCACCCTCTCACTCACGCTCTCACTCACCCACCCACCCACTCACTCACCCGCTCACTCACCCACCCACCCTCTGAATCACCCACTCACTCGCTCACCCACCCACTCACCCAGTCACTCATTCACCAACTCACTCACGCTCTCACTCACCCTCTCACTCACCCACCCACCCACTCACTCACCCGCTCACTCACCCACCCACCCTCTGAATCACCCACTCACTCGCTCACCCACCCACTCACCCACCCACTCACCCAATCACTCACTCATTCACCAACTCACTCACCCACTCAATCACCCTCTCACTCACCTGCTCACTCACCCACTCACCCTCTGAATCACCCAGTCACTCACTCGCTCGCTCACTCACCCACTCACTCACCCAGTCACTCACTCATTGACCAACTCACTCACTCATCCACTCACCAACTCACTCACCCACTCACTCACCCACTCACTCACCTACCCACTCTCACCCAGTGCCATTCTCCCGTTTCTTTGCTCACGGCCGCCAACCGGCACTAACCCACGACTTCCTGTAGACCAGGCGAGGTAGTCAACATCTCCTAGCCACTGTGGTGTCAGGATCTAACTCACGACCTCCTGTAGACCAGGCGAGGTAGTCAACATCTCCTAGCCACTGTGGTGTCAGGATCTAACCCACGACCTCCTGTAGACCAGGCGAGGTAGTCAACATCTCCTAGCCACTGTGGTGTCAGGATCTAACCCACGACCTCCTGTAGACCAGGCGAGGTAGTCAACATCTCCTAGCCACTGTGGTGTCAGGGTCAGGATCTAACCCACGACCTCCTGTAGACCTGGCGAGGTTGTCAACATCTCCTAGCCACTGTGGTGTCAGGATCTAACTCACGACCTCCTGTAGACCAGGCGAGGCAGTCAACATCTCCTAGCCACTGTGGTGTCAGGATCTAACCCACGACCTCCTGTAGACCAGGCGAGGCAGTCAACATCTCCTAGCCACTGTGGTGTCACGGTCCGGGGTGGAACCCACGACCTCCTGTACACCTGGCGAGGTAGTCAACATCTCCTAGCCACTGTGGTGTCAGAGTCAGGATCTAACCCACGACCTCCTGTAGACCTGGCGAGGTAGTCAACATCTCCTAGCCACTGTGGTGTCAGGGTCAGGATCTAACCCACGACCTCCCGTAGACCAGGCGAGGTAGTCAACATCTCCTAGCCACTGTGGTGTCAAGGTCAGGATCTAACCCACGACCTCCTGTATACCAGGCGAGGTAGTCAACATTTCCTAGCCACTGTGGTGTCAAGAGTCAGGATCTAACCCATGACCTCCTGTATACCAGGTGAGGTAGTCAACATCTCCTAGCCATTGTGGTGTCAGGGTCAGGATCTAACCCACGACCTCCTGTAGGCCAGGCGAGGCAGTCAACATCTCCTAGCCACCCACTGTCACTCCGTGTGTTACTCTCTCCCTTTCAGTCGGCTTTGCTGCTCTTCGAGTTGGCTTGGACGATGTCAAAAGACTCCAATGATATGTTGTGGTGAGTTCACTCAGTCGCTCACCCACACTCACTCGCTTTCAGTCGCTTGCTTGCAGTCACTCACTCACACACTCACTCACACACTTAGTCACTCACACACTCACTCACACTCACACACTCAGTCACTCACACTCACTCACACACTTAGTCACTCACACTCACTCAGTCACTCACACACTCACTCACACACTTAGTCACTCACACACTCAGTCACTCACACACTCACTCACACACTCACTCACACACTTAGTCACTCACACACTCACTCACACTCACACACTCAGTCACTCACACACTCACTCACACACTTAGTCACTCACATACGCACTCACACTCACACACTCACTCACACTCACACACTCAGCCACTCACACACTCACTCACACACTTAGTCACTCACATACTCACTCACACACTCAGTCACTCACACACTCACTCACACACTCAGTCACTCACACACTCACTCACACACTTAGTCACTCACACACTCACTCACACACTCACTCACACACTCACTCACATACTCAGTCACTCACACACTCACTCACACACTTAGTCACTCACACTCACTCAGTCACTCACACACTTAGTCATTCATAAACTCACTCGCACACTCACACACTCACTCACTCACACACTCACTCAGCCACTCACACACTCACTCACACACTTAGTCATTCATACACTCACTCACTCACACACTCACTCAGTCACTCAGTCACTCACTCACACACTCAGTCACTCACTCACTCACACACTCAGTCACTCACACACTCACTCACACCCCCTCACATACCCACCCAGTCACTGTAAACATGAGATGATTGAATGAACGCCGCGGTCTCTGTTGACTGGCTGCTGGTGGGCCATCACTCACACACTCACTCGGTCACTCACTCAGTCACTCACACTCACTCACTCACACACTCCCTCAGTCACTCAGTCACTCACACTCACTCACTCACACACTCCCTCAGTCACTCACACACTCAGTCACTCACACACTCACTCAGTCACTCACTCACACACTCAGTCACTCACACACTTAGTCATTCATACACTCACTCACACACTCACTCAGTCACTCACACACTCAGTCACTCACACACTCACTCATTCATACACTCACTCACACCCCCTCACATACCCACCCAGTCACTGTAAACGTGAGATGGTTGAATGAACGCCGCGGTCTCTGTTGACTGGCTGCTGGTGGGCCATCACTCACACACTCACTCGGTCACTCACTCAGTCACTCAGTCACTCACACACTCACTCACTCAGTCACTCACACTCACTCACTCAGTCACTCACACTCACTCACACACTCCCTCAGTCACTCAGTCACTCACACTCACTCACTCACTCACACACTCCCTCAGTCACTCACACACTCAGTCACTCACACACTCACTCAGTCACTCACTCACACACTCAGTCACTCACACACTTAGTCATTCATACACTCACTCACACACTCACTCAGTCACTCACACACTCAGTCACTCACACACTCACTCATTCATACACTCACTCACACCCCTTCACATACCCACCCAGTCACTGTAAATGTGAGATGGTTGAATGAACCCCGTGGTCTCTGTTGACTGGCTGCAGGTGGGCCATCACTCACACACTCACTCGGTCACTCACTCAGTCACTCACACTCACTCACTCACACACTCCCTCAGTCACTCACACACTCACTCACACCCCCTCACATACCCACCCAGTCACTGTAAACGTGAGATGGTTGAATGAACCACGTGGTCTCTGTTGACTGGCTGCAGGTGGGCCATCGTGGGTCTCACCGCTCAGTGGCTGCACGACAAAATCACACAGTGAGTGTTCCCCCCTCCCGTGTCTCCCTGATGTCTCCCTGATGTCTCCCTGATGTCTCCCTGATGTCTCCTTGATGTCTCCCTGATGTTTCCCTGATGTCTCCCTGATGTCTCCCTGATGTCTCCCTGATGTCTCCCTGATGTCTCCTTGATGTCTCCCTGATGTCTCCCTGATGTCTCCCTGATGTCTCCCTGATGTCTCCTTGATGTGTCCCTGATGTCTCCTTGATGTCTCCCTGATGTCTCCTTGATGTCTCCCTGATGTCTCCCTGATGTCTCCTTGATGTCTCCCTGATGTCTCCCTGATGTCTCCGTGTGTCTCCCTGATGTCTCCCTGATGTCTCCTTGATGTCTCCTTGATGTCTCCATGATGTCTCCCTGATGTCTCCCTGATGTCTCCCTGATGTCTCCCTGATGTCTCCCTGATGTCTCCGTGTGTCTCCCTGATGTCTCCTTGATGTCTCCTTGATGTCTCCCTGATGTCTCCCTGATGTCTCCCTGATGTCTCCTTGATGTCTCCTTGATGTCTCCCTGATGTCTCCGTGTGTCTCCCTGATGTCTCCTTGATGTCTCCTTGATGTCTCCCTGATGTCTCCCTGATGTCTCCCTGATGTCTCCCTGATGTCTCCGTGTGTCTCCCTGATGTCTCCTTGATGTCTCCTTGATGTCTCCTTGATGTCTCCCTGATGTCTCCCTGATGTCTCCCTGATGTCTCCGTGTGTCTCCCTGATGTCTCCTTGATGTCTCCCTGATGTCTCCGTGTGTCTCGCTGATGTCTCCCTGATGTCTCCTTGATGTCTCCTTGATGTCTCCCTGATGTCTCCGTGTGTCTCCGTGTGTCTCCCTGATGTCTCCCTGATGTCTCCCTGATGTCTCCGTGTGTCTCCGTGTGTCTCCCTGATGTCTCCCTGATGTCTCCCTGATGTCTCCTTGATGTCTCCCTGATGTCTCCCTGATGTCTCCCTGATGTCTCCGTGTGTCTCCCTGATGTCTCCCTGATGTCTCCCTGATGTCTCCCTGATGTCTCCTTGATGTCTCCCTGATGTCTCCCTGATGTCTCTCTGATGTCTCCGTGTGTCTCCCTGATGTCTCCCTGATGTCTCCCTGATGTCTCCGTGTGTCTCCCTGATGTCTCCGTGTGTCTCCCTGATGTCTCCCTGATGTCTCCGTGTGTCTCCGTGTGTCTCCCTGATGTCTCCCTGATGTCTCCCTGATGTCTCCTTGATGTCTCCCTGATGTCTCCCTGGTGTCTCCCTGATGTCTCCTTGATGTCTCCCTGATGTCTCCCTGATGTCTCCTTGATGTCTCCCTGATGTCTCCCTGATGTCTCCTTGATGTCTCCCTGATGTCTCCGTGTGTCTCCCTGATGTCTCCCTGATGTCTCCGTGTGTCTCCCTGATGTCTCCCTGATGTCTCCCTGATGTCTCCCTGATGTCTCCCTGATGTCTCCCTGATGTCTCCCTGATGTCTCACTGATGTCTCCCTGATGTCTCCGTGTGTCTCCGTGTCTCAGTGCGAAGTATGTCTCGGACGTGGCAGACCTACAGAGGCACGTGTCTCGTCACAACCATCGCCATGACGACGAGGATGTCCGCGTCTCCCTCGACCGCATGCGCATCACCTTCCAGTACGAGTATCCTTGGTGCTGAGCGCACACAGCGGTGTGCGCCCTCCCGCTGCGTCTATCCGTGTCTCTGCGTCTCTCCGTGTCTCTGCGTCTCCCCCGTGTCTCACTGTGTCTCTGCGTCTCCCCGTGTATCTGCGTCTCCCCCGTGTCTCACTGTGTCTCTGCGTCTCCCCCGTGTCTCTGCATCTCCCCCGTGTCTCACTGTCTCTTGACTCCTCAGTGTGTAGGAGTGATGTAGTCTCTCACACTATCAATGTGACTCCCCAGTGTGTAGGAGTGATGTAGTCTCTGACACTTCCATTGTGACCCTCAGTGTGTAGGAGTGATGTAGTCTCTCACACTACCATTGTGACTCCCAGTGTGTAGGAGTGATGTAGTCTCTCACACTATCAATGTGACTCCCAGCGTGTAGGAGTGATGTAGTCTCTCACACTACCATTGTGACTCCCAGTGTGTAGGAGTGATGTAGTCTCTCACACTACCATTGTGACCCTCAGTGTGTAGGAGTGATGTAGTCTCTGACACTACCATTGTGACTCCCCAGTGTGTAGGAGTGATGTAGTCTCTGACACTACCAATGTGACTCCCCAGTGTGTAGGAGTGATGTAGTCTCTCACACTATCAATGTGACCCACTAGTGTGTAGGAGTGATGTAGTCTCTCACACTACCATTGTGACTCCCAGCGTGTAGGAGTGATGTAGTCTCTCACACTACCATTGTGACTCCCAGTGTGTAGGAGTGATGTAGTCTCTCACACTACCATTGTGACTCCCAGCGTGTAGGAGTGATGTAGTCTCTCACACTACCATTGTGACTCCCAGCGTGTAGGAGTGATGTAGTCTCTCACACTACCATTGTGACTCCCAGTGTGTAGGAGTGATGTAGTCTCTCACACTACCATTGTGACTCCCAGCGTGTAGGAGTGATGTAGTCTCTCACACTACCATTGTGACTCCCAGTGTGTAGGAGTGATGTAGTCTCTCACACTACCATTGTGACTCCCCAGTGTGTAGGAGTGATGTAGTCTCTCACACTACCATTGTGACTCCCAGTGTGTAGGAGTGATGTATCTGACACTACCATTGTGACCCTCAGTGTGTAGGAGTGATGTAGTCTCTGACACTACCAAGGTGACTCCCAGTGTGTAGGAGTGATGTAGTCTCTCACACTTCCAATGTGACTCCCAGCGTGTAGGAGTGATGTAGTCTCTGACACTACCATTGTGACTCCCAGTGTGTAGGAGTGATGTAGTCTCTCACACTACCATTGTGACTCCTCAGTGTGTAGGAGTGATGTAGTCTCTAACACTACCAATGTGACTCCCAGTGTGTAGGAGTGATGTAGTCTCTCACACTACCATTGTGACCCTCAGTGTGTAGGAGTGATGTAGTCTCTCACACTACCATTGTGACTCCCAGTGTGTAGGAGTGATAGTGATGTAGTCTCTCACACTACCATTGTGACTCCCCAGTGTGTAGGAGTGATGTAGTCTCTCACACTACCAATCTGACTCCCACAGTGTGTAGGAGTGATGTAGTCTCTCACACTACCATTGTGACTCCCCAGCGTGTAGGAGTGATGTAGTCTCTCACACTACCATTGTGACTCCCAGCGTGTAGGAGTGATGTAGTCTCTCACACTACCATTGTGACTCCCAGTGTGTAGGAGTGATGTAGTCTCTCACACTACCATTGTGACTCCCAGTGTGTAGGAGTGATGTAGTCTCTCACACTACCATTGTGACTCCCAGTGTGTAGGAGTGATGTAGTCTCTCACACTACTATTGTGACTCCCAGCGTGTAGGAGTGATGTAGTCTCTCACACTACCATTGTGACTCCCAGTGTGTAGGAGTGATGTAGTCTCTCACACTACCATTGTGACTCCCAGTGTGTAGGAGTGATGTAGTCTCTCACACTACCATTGTGACTCCCAGTGTGTAGGAGTGATGTAGTCTCTCACACTACCATTGTGACCCTCAGTGTGTAGGAGTGATGTAGTCTCTCACACTACCATTGTGACTCCCAGTGTGTAGGAGTGATGTAGTCTCTCACACTTCCAATGTGACTCCCAGCGTGTAGGAGTGATGTCGTCTCTCACACTACCATTGTGACTCCCAGTGTGTAGGAGTGATGTAGTCTCTCACACTACCAATCTGACTCCCACAATGTGTAGGAGTGATGTAGTCTCTCACACTACCATTGTGACTCCCCAGTGTGTAGGAGTGATGTAGTCTCTCACACTACCATTGTGACTCCCAGTGTGTAGGAGTGATGTAGTCTCTGACACTACCAATGTGACTCCCTCAGTGTGTAGGATTGATGTTAGTCTCTCACACTACCATTGTCGACTGCCCCAGTGGTGTAAGGAGTGATGTAGTTCTCTCACACTAACAATGTGACTTCCAGTAGTGTGAGGAGTGATGTAGTCTCTCACACTACCATGTGACTCCCAGTGTGTAGGAGTGATGTAGTCTCTCACAATAACAATGTGACTCCCAGGTGTAGAAGTGCTGTAGTCTCTAAAATACCTGTGGAACTCCCAGTGTGTAGGAGTGATGTCAGCTCTGACACTACCCATGTGACTCCTCAGCTGTGTAGGAGTGAATGTAGGTCTCTCACCCTACCCATTGTGACTTCCCAGTGTGTAGGAGTGATGTAGGCTCTCACACTACCATTGTGGACTCCCAGTGTGTAGGAGTGATGTAGTCTCTCACACTACCATTGTGACTCCCAGTGTGTAGGAGTGATGTAGTCTCTCACACTACCATTGTGACTCCACTAGTGTGTAGGAGTGATGTAGTCTCTCACACTACCATTGTGACTCCCAGTGTGTAGGAGTGATGTAGTCTCTCACACTACCATTGTGACCCACTAGTGTGTAGGAGTGATGTAGTCTCTCACACTACCATTGTGACTCCCATTTGTGGTACGGAGTGATGTAGTCCTCTCACACTACCATTGTTGACGGCACCACTATGGTGTATGAGTGATGTCAGTCTCTCACACTACCATTGTGACTCCCAGTGTGTAGGATGGTGATGTAGTCTCCCACCCTATATATACCAATGTGACTCTCCAGTGTGTAGGAGTGATGCTATGGATCTTCTGTGACACTTCCATATGTGACCCTCAGTGCTTAGGAGTGATGTATGCTGGTGGAATGTAAGGTCTCTCACACTACCGATTCGTGACGCCCAAGTGCTGTAGGAGTGATGTAGTCTCTCACCACTACCATTGTGACTTCTCCAGTGTATGTAGGAGGGGTAATGTAGTCCTCTCTCACCTACCATTGTGGACTCCCAGTGTTTAGGAGTCGATGTAGTCCTCTCACACTACCAGTTGTGATCCCAGTGTGTAGGAGTGATGTAGTCTCTCACACCTATCAATGTGACTCCCAGTGTGTAGGAGTGATGTAGTCTCTCACACTACCATTGTGACTCCCCAGTGTGTAGGAGTGATGTAGTCTCTCACACTAACAATGTGACTCCAGTGTGTAGGAGTGATGTAGTCTCTCACACTACCATTGTGACTCCCAGTGTGTAGGAGTGATGTAGTCTCTCACACTACCATTGTGACTCCCAGTGTGTAGGAGTGATGTAGTCTCTGACACTACCAATGTGACCCTCAGCGTGTAGGAGTGATGTAGTCTCTCACACTACCATTGTGACTCCCAGTGTGTAGGAGTGATGTAGTCTCTCACACTACCATTGTGACTCCCAGCTGTGTAGGAGTGATGTAGTCTCTCACACTACCATTGTGACTCCCAGTGTGTAGGAGTGATGTAGTCTCTCACACTACCATTGTGACTCCCAGTGTGTAGGAGTGATGTAGTCTCTCACACTACCATTGTGACTCCCCAGTGTGTAGGAGTGATGTAGTCTCTCACACTACCATTGTGACTCCCAGCGTGTAGGAGTGATGTAGTCTCTCACACTACCATTGTGACTCCCCAGTGTGTAGGAGTGATGTAGTCTCTCACACTACCCTTGTGACTCCCAGTGTGTAGGAGTGATGTAGTCTCTCACACTACCATTGTGACTCCCAGCGTGTAGGAGTGATGTAGTCTCTCACACTACCATTGTGACTCCCAGCGTGTAGGAGTGATGTAGTCTCTCACACTACCATTGTGACTCCCAGTGTGTAGGAGTGATGTAGTCTCTCACACTACCATTGTGACTCCCAGCGTGTAGGAGTGATGTAGTCTCTCACACTACCATTGTGACTCCCAGTGTGTAGGAGTGATGTAGTCTCTCACACTACCATTGTGACTCCCCAGTGTGTAGGAGTGATGTAGTCTCTCACACTACCATTGTGACTCCCAGTGTGTAGGAGTGATGTCTCTGACACTACCATTGTGACCCTCAGTGTGTAGGAGTGATGTAGTCTCTGACACTACCAAGGTGACTCCCAGTGTGTAGGAGTGATGTAGTCTCTCACACTTCCAATGTGACTCCCAGCGTGTAGGAGTGATGTAGTCTCTGACACTACCATTGTGACTCCCAGTGTGTAGGAGTGATGTAGTCTCTCACACTACCATTGTGACTCCTCAGTGTGTAGGAGTGATGTAGTCTCTGACACTACCAATGTGACTCCCAGTGTGTAGGAGTGATGTAGTCTCTCACACTACCATTGTGACCCTCAGTGTGTAGGAGTGATGTAGTCTCTCACACTACCATTGTGACTCCCAGTGTGTAGGAGTGATAGTGATGTAGTCTCTCACACTACCATTGTGACTCCCCAGTGTGTAGGAGTGATGTAGTCTCTCACACTACCAATCTGACTCCCACAGTGTGTAGGAGTGATGTAGTCTCTCACACTACCATTGTGACTCCCCAGCGTGTAGGAGTGATGTAGTCTCTCACACTACCATTGTGACTCCCAGCGTGTAGGAGTGATGTAGTCTCTCACACTACCATTGTGACTCCCAGTGTGTAGGAGTGATGTTAGTCTCTCACACTACCATTGTGAATCCCAGTGTGTAGGAGTGATGTAGTCTCTCACACTA